CAATGAAAGGAAACACCCTTCTTCAGTTAGCTACATACTACATACTACAAGCGCATCCCAATGCTTGGTGAGAATGAGTTTGCGGTTAGGGAAGCAATGACAGTTATAGTTAGAATCTTGACACTCTGCACATAATTCCTCTGCTGCTTTCCTAAGGAGGCCATACTTTCTACAGCTGATGAGAAACTAATACACAGTTGGTTTCAGGAGCCTTGGTGATACTTTTACACTCTTCTGGGTCCACTGCTGTGAAATTCCACCATAGCCTTGGGTGGACTGTAGCCTGACTTCTACTCAAGCCTCCTTCCTGCCGCCTCAGTGTGCTGTGTCAGATCAATCTCATGCTCAGTGTGATGCTTTCCCTGCTTAGTCCAGCTCCCTCTCCCCCTTAATCCTCTCACAGCCTTTCCCCCAATAAATCCATTACATCCTCCTGAACATCTGTTTTCTGGTAGATTCCAACTCAAAAGTTTCTTGGCAAGCTTAAATGAGCTCATTCATGTAATGTGCTTGGCATGGTGTTGGATTCATAGCAGAAGCTCATTGGAACCTAATTATTGAATTTTGAGAAAGAAGAGTCCAATTGATGGAATCACACAATGTGCTTCTAGGACTTATTGGAAAGCTAAAGTCATGAAGACAGTCATCACAGTATTGATGAAGGAACACAGCTGTACTGATCAATGGAACAGGACAAAGAGTGTAGGAATAGGTCTACACTAATAGAGAGAATTGGTTTTTGATAAAGGGGCAAAAGCAACTCAATGGAGAAAGAATTGTTCCAATAAGTGGTGTTGGAACAATTGAACAGTCTTAGGCAAAGACAGCAAAATAAAACAAAACTGGACCTAACTTTCTACCTTAAGCAAAATTCAGTATAAATCACAGATCTATATGTAAAACTTAGAAATAGAAAACTAAAAAGGACACTTGGGAAAATATTTACAACCTGGGGTGAGTTCTTAGATATATAACACAAAAGCATGATTCATAGAAGACAATTATAATTTAGACTTTGACATTTTTTTGTCTGTGTAAGACACTGTTAGAATTTTTAAAAAGCTCTAGACTGGGAGAAAATGTTAGCAAGTCAAGTATCCAACAAATGACTTATCTCCAGAGTATAAAGATATTTCAAAAGTAAACAGGATGATTTTTACTATATGATCATTTAAAAATATAGGAATTGATTATTTATATATTGCTATATAAATATATATCTATTGTGTAGATATATCTATTGTGTAAATAATAATCGTCACTGACTGTTGTCTAATTGTTTAATGTCGCCCTAGTTTTCATTTCTTCTGTCCTGCTGAAAACCATACCACATTCACATGGGCCTTTCCTTGCTTTAGCATGCTAAAATCTCATTCACTCCTATAGTCCTATAAAATTTGGTTCAGAAAATTGTTTCAGCAAAAGAGAGTCATAAACTGCTACGGAGATTGCAGTCAATTCACTCCATGTTAGTAATGATAATGATGATGACAATGACGATGATGACGATGCCCATTACAATAACAGCATTCCAAAACTCTGGAGTAGTTTTGTCAATGGCTCATCTGTATAGGATGCCTAACAGATATAAACTGTAATATTCTCATTAACATGAAAGTCAGCAATCCATGGCTCAAGATGTGGTGAGGACTTCATGGGGGATACCCAGCGTGATGCACCGGTGTGACTTTATAGGACTGAATGTGTGTGTGTGTGCGCGCGTGCGCGTGTGCGCGTGCACATGTGTGCATCTCCTGGTAAAATTCTCAATGGCTTTGCAGGCTGGAGTTGAACCAGATTGATTCGTCTTCTTTTCACTGATCATTTTCTTTTTTCTGGTGGTATCGGGATTGAACTAGAGCCTTGTACTTCCTGGTAAGGGCCCAGCCACTGAGCCACACTCCCTGTCCGTTTGCCTTTAGTTGGTTGTTCCGATAGGTCTCATGTTTTGTTTTGTTTGCCTAGGACTTGGGACCACAATCCTTCTCCTTCAGACTTTTGGGTCTGGAATTACCTGGTACGTATCACCAGGTTGAGCCCCCGATAATAGCTTTAACGCTCCATGTAAGCGATCCGTATCATCTTTGGCCAAGGCACTGTCAGGTTAAATTCCTTACTCTATTAAAACTTTAGTGGCCTCTATCCTCTGTCATAGAACTACCCCAGGAGAGGGAGAATCAGTGTTTATGTGGATTTTGCTTCGGTTAAGAGCTTGATAGCTAACAAACTTCTGTCCCTCTTGGGATCCAATTCTGTATTTCTTAGAGAGCCTAGAGGGTGTCCAAACAACAGCCTGGCTTCCTTCCAGTGACTTCTAAGCACAGGGAGAAAAGTTGAATTTGATTCTAGTGTTACATTAATGCTTCATTTCTGCTCTGGAACAGCACCTGCTGCCATGTACCCTGTTGTTTTTCTAAAGCCCTCCTCAATCTTTCTCCAAGTCCGGAGCAAAACAAACAGCCCTTTGCTACAATCTTTCAAACTGCTTCTTACAAAATAACTGCAGCCTAGGATCCAGCTGCTCTAGCCTCTGAAATGATATAAACAGTTTGAATCTCATTTTAGACCTGTGCTCCAGAAGTAAGAACAAAATAAAACCATCAAACATCTCTACACACCCAAAGACATTGAAGAGAAATAAAAATAGTAAGCCTCCTGAATTTCCAAACAAAGTAAAGAACAGTTGAAGATAGCGCAGGGTGGAGGTTTGAAGAATGAGCAGGTAATGTGGTGGGGGCAGAGAGGGGACCCTTCTGGCAAAGTGGAGATAAGCAAAATCACTGCGGCAAGAAGCATGGAGGTGAACTCTCCTAAGTTTTGTCTGCTACTGACATTGAAAGTGGCGAGAAAGAGGCCAGAAAGCCAAGCAAAACCTCCCACTTAGTCCAAGCTACGTGGACAATATTAGCTTATGGTCAGTTTAATGATGGGTAACTAAGATTGCCACCTTTTTGTACAGTATTAAAATTCCAGTATGTAAACCAACATATAAACACGTTTTTTACAAAATTTATTAGTATATATCAATCTTAGAAGGAGGCTTCCTTATGATATATCTATGCATGTGTTGATCAGATTCAACCTTTTATCTACTTCCCCTCTCCCCTTTTTTTTAATCGGTCATGAGGCTTGAACTCTGGGCACATCCTTCAGCTCTTCAGCTCAAGGCTAGCACTCTACCACTTGAGCCACAGTGCCACTTCCCGTTTTCTAGTGGTTTATTGGAGATACGAGTCTCACAGACTTTCCTTCCGGGGCTGGCTATGAACCTCCATCCTCAGATCTCAGCCTTCTGAGTAGCTAGGATTACAGCCACCAGTGCCTGGCTCACTTCCCTTTTAAAAACTAGTTTTACAATGTTTTCTTTTTGTTTCATTGGTTTGTCTTTATGTCTTTGGGAGTATAAAGGAGGGGGCACAGAAATGAAGGAACCAAGGGTGAACAAATGCAGAAATGGTACTCACTGGACACTATGTTGAAAATGCACTATACAATTTGTGGATGGAATGGGAGGGAAAAACTGGGAGAGATCAAGGGTAGGGGTGACATTGTCCAAAAGGAAATGTACTCTTTGACTGACTTATTTAAGTGTAACCCTTCTGTTTAATGAAGATTTCTAATTTTAAAAAAATAAATTAATTAAAAGTTTTAATAGGTTTTTTTAGGTTTCTTTTTTTAAAATTTTAATAGGTTTTAATATTCTATTTCCAAACCTGTATTTAAAGTATTCCATCCGCTCCTATCATCCTTCCTCTTCCCACTGGTCCCAATCCTAACATTCTTGGTTTTACTCTCCTGCTTGAACACAGGGCTTCGAGCTCTTTCCACCAAGTTTTTATGTTAAGAGTGGTATTCTACCACTTGAGCCACAATCCCACTTCTGGCTTTTTGCTGGTTAACTGGAGATAAGAGTCTCTCAGATTTGTCTGCCTGGGCTGGCTCTGAACCACAATCCTCAAATCCCAGCTTCCTGAGTTGCTAGAATTACTAACATGAGCTACAAATGCCTCCCAATACTGTAGATTTTTAATCAAAGTTCTGACTAGATGGGAATGATACTCCAGGTTAATACAGATAGAATAAACTCTGCCAAGGAGGGGAGCCATGGACATTCAGCATGCCTTAGAGAGATGAAAGCCACAGCTAGTCTGAATAAGGCTGTTAGGTTTCCAATGTTGAGATAGTGAGCAATTGTGATCCCTTCTTACAGCTTCTGGTGCCATTCTGGAGCCTGGATTTAGTATAGTAGTCAACAGTGCTTATGGTAGCTAAGGTGAGATCTCCGCAGCGCCCCCTCCTCCCTACCCCCCCCCCCCGCCCCATCCCTGCTGCCAATAAAGCCACCTTGCCCTTAAACTCAGGTCTTATTCCTTGGGTAGGCATTGCCCTCCACATTTCAGTTGTTGAATTCCTAGTTGATCACTTTTTCTTCCTAAGGTAACTGAGAACTTGAGAAGAATCATGTTCCAGAATCTCTGTGTGCTGTGAGGTTCCTTTAGAAATCTAATGGCCTTTCCAAATTTTTTCTAGTTGTTTCCTCTGGTGCCCAGGTTTCCCATCCAATCCATGGTGATCCTGGGGTGCCTGGATACCTAAAGCCACTCCAGGACTCGCCAGCAGACCGTGGTGCATTTCTACCACAGACCTGAGGGAGAACTCTACTTCCCTTTCCTCTTTGGCTAAGAATACAGAGTTGTTCCCCATGGGGGAAGGTTGGTCCCTGTCCTGAGATCTTATTCCTCAGAGATGGAGAGGAATAGATCTGGATTCAAAATGACCGACTTCATTCCCTAACTCTGCTCTGTCTCAGCAGCATGACTTTGGAGAATGAATGAGTTGAAGCAGGATTTAGAGGAGCTCAACTAACATATTCTGCCCTTACAACTCAACTTGAATTTGTTTTGGGAAGCTGTTTCTGGCTCTTTCAGCTTTCATGGTCTCCCACAAACCCTGCTTTCCCATGCTCTTTTCCAACTCCCCCATGATCACCCTTTCCTTACCTTGCTTCCCCCACTGGAACAGGCTATTTGTCTTGTTTATCTCCATCTCCAGCAGCCAACACTCTGGCTGGCACCTTTTCATTGTTTTGTAATGCTGCTTGCTGATAAGGGTTTCTAAAGTTCTGATCCTTACCCATCTGTCTCAGCAAGTTAAGACATTAGAGCTTGACTGATGGAGGAAAAAATCAGTTCATAAGGCTTCCTTCAATACTGTCAAGTCCTAGTGGCATTGCATCTTCGCAAACAGAAATGAGCCAGCAACACAGAAAGTAAAAAGAACCTCCATCATTTCCAGACCATCAAACTACAAAAGAGCTCTTCCAAACCACCATATGGCCAGTAGAAGCAAATGCATCCAGTGATGACATCGTGGTGACATGCTGAGCCAGGCTGCTCACTGAGTCATGGCGGTCAGGAGATGATAAGTCTGTAGATGTTTCAGGAATGAGAATCCAATGGGGCTTAGGGAATGCTGCTTCTATTCAGTTGCTCTCAGGCAATGTGAATCCTCTGTTAAACCCTTAACCCTCCTAAATTAGACCTCAGGGGCTTAATCTTGACATTGGATGACCTTATAAAGAAAGCCACAAACTGTGCTCTATTCCAGACCGTAGCATAGGGAAGGAATTCAGTAGGAAATTCCTTAGGAGATTTTCTGTAGTTTCAATGCTATGTCCACTCACATTACTAAGGAGTAACAACATTCTCTGTTAATGGGGAGAGTTGCTATTAGCCTGAAATGGAGGAAGCTGGCTTTAGCCTGAAAGAGGTCTGCTTCTAGGGTGAGCTTTCTTGCTTAGGAGACAGGTACTCGGAACATTTTGGAAACACAGACAGACAAGACCCAAGTCAAGCATCAGTAAGGAGCCCAGGAAAATGACAGGCTGAGGCCGAGACTGTGTAGAGATGAACATGATAAGAGGGAAGGCTCCAGCAGGTATATTACCTGCTGAAAACCCAAAGATAGAGATAAATGAATCTGGATTCAAAATGATCTGACTTCACCCCTTAACTCTGCTACTTCTTAGCAGCAAGACTTTGGAGAATGAATGAAAGAATGAAGAAATACTCACCCCAGTCCTTGGAGGCCATGAATGTTTCTGAAAGTTCACAAGTGAGACTGTACTAAGAGGATCCACTCATCTTTCTAGATTTTAAGATCCACAGTGGTGGTGTTAAACCAGCATATCTCGTTTTTTTCTTTTTGTTATCTAAAGCCAGATGTTGTGGCACATACATGTAATTAATCCTGCCACTTGGGAAACAGAGGCAGGAGGATCACAAGTGTGAGGTTATCCTGGGCTACAGAGCAGAGACATAAAAAAAAAACAAACAACAACAACAACAAAACCAAAGCAAAATGAAACACAAAGCTCCAGGGAAGGTCGTTGTTTGAAGATTCTTTTCTTACTCATGCCATAACAATATTTGCTACAAGTCAAGTGCTTTGACTCATGTAACTCAGTAACTAGCGTCATTCTGTCATGTTACTGCTGAGAAAAGAGCATGGAGGGATGCAATGGTGACAGAGACATGCAAGGTCACATGAGTTCATGGTGGCAGATCTGGGACTATCAATATTGGCTGTCAAAATCTAAAACTTGTACCCCTCACCATCAGATGGCTTTGCCCCACTTCTCTGCTGTCAAGACTATCTTCCCAACATCTCTTTAGTCCTGGCCAGGCTCCCAGTCCTGGCCAACCACTCATGGTCCATACAATGCCTCATCTTGAAGGTTCTACCATTACTTAATGTATGTATTACTTATTTCTAGCTAAGTATGTGAGATACTTAGGAGCAGGAGCCTCTTCTCTTTAAGTATTTGCGAGTGTCCTAGCGTCCAACCTGGTATAAGTGCTCGACACATGAAATAAAGGAATAAACTTAGAGATACAGGAACACTGGGGTCGTGTGAGACATCAGTGGACATAGCAGAGGTAGCCAATCATACTTATTGATGACTTGCACTGCCTGGAGTACTGTTTGTGCATTATCTGTCTACTCGTTGGCATAGCTTTCTGAGGTAGATTCTGGGTTTATCTCCATTGCACTTTAGAGCAAAGTGCAGATGGACGTGCTCAAGTCAATGCAGCTAAGTCATCTGTAAAGCTGAGACCCCTACCTTGATCTGACGACCAAATATGATCTTAAGATTTGCATTCTTTGGCTGTGGTCCTGTCTCACTCTGGCGCTCTAGCCTTGTGTGCAGAGCAGAGGTGTTGGAAGCTACATTTGGTGGGGGGGGGGGGGGGGTACAGATGCTTCCGCTTAAACTCAGGGTCTAGTGCTCTTTTGTGGCTTTTTTCACACAAGTCTGGCACACTGCCACGTGAGCCACACCTCCATTTTTTGGCTTTTTGCTGCTAGTTGGAGATAAGAGTCTCTTGGCTTTGTCTTTCTGGACTGGCTTTGGAGCTCAGCCTTCAGTAGCTAGGATTATAGGCCTGAGCCACTAGCACCTCACTTGTATGCTACAGTTTTATAGTCCCCTTAAAACAAAGCTGCATATAGTTATCTTGAAAGGGGTTGTTTTCTTATTCCTGTTGCATTGGTTGCACCTAGATGCTTTTGTGTCTGCACAAGGAAGGGACTTCAGTTAAACTGGTTTGGAAAATGTGGAAATAGAAGCTCAGAGAGGCTCATTAATTTGCCCCAGGTTCTACCACTGGCTAGTATTCAGCCCCAAGCAACTTTGTTCTGGTGCTAGATGGTTAACCGCTGGGCTGTCCTCACTTCCTAGCAACATCGGGGCTCTCCACATTCCTGCCTGTGGCTGTTGATTCTTTAATTAGCTGGGGGTCCTCAAAAGCCAAGCTATAGGCCTGATCTCTGATAGCAGTAGTCTGAACCTTAATCCCACCAGATGTCCTGCAAACATCCCACAGATCTAGGCCCATGGTTACCAAGGAGACCAGGTGGGAGAGTGAGGATGGATCAGTGCCAGTCAGCCAGCTCCACAGAGAAAACTGTGTTGCCAACAATAGGTCAAAACTGTGTCTCCGTATTATTAAAATACCCATTGAAGACAGGTGAGTCAATGCATCTGCTTTACTTGTGTTCTTAAATGATAAACCCATGTCCCACTAGCTTATGTGCACAAATGTTTGGCTCCCACATCCAGGATTTTTAAAAGGGTCAAGTTCCGCTCTGTTTCATCAAAAGAGTAAATACTGTATGTTTAATTATTTGATGTGCTTAGTCTGAGAACATTTCCAGTGAGAGCTTAGAAGGTTTGAAGGCAATGCCTAAAGTCGTAGGGAACATTGGAATTGCTAGGGGCATCAGGGATCAAAGTTTAAACCCTCATCACACAGATAAGAAAGGCTAAGTTGTTGGCCTGCATGCAGAAGGCCAGGGACAGCAGAGCTAGGACAGCACTGCTCACTTGCCACTAACATCCCTACAGAGATAGAAGTTAGGTTTGCTTAAAACTCTTTGGAAATGTATTTTGGCTTCATTTGCAATGCTTGGGATTGAAATTATTTCACCATTAAAGAAGGAATATGTTATCAGGACATTTGCATCTCCTTTTTCCTTTTCTTTTTTTCTTCTTCTTCCTCCCCACACCCCACCCCAATCCCCAGTCTGACTCTCACTAGGGATTCATATTCTCTACCACTTGAGCCACAGCCCTAGCCTTTTTAAATTTCTGAGATAGGATTTCCCTTTGGAACTCAGACTGAGACCTCTTAAATATTTAGGAGTATTGGCATGTACCACTACACTAACACCTGATTAGTAAACCCAATTGTATTAGCATTTCTTCTGCCACACAAGTACCAAATTGTTTAGAAAAAAAATAATTTGATCAAACAGAGTATCCAACAAGAAGTTATTTTCTTAAATATTCAAGTCTTTAAATTAACTACATTATTTATGTTAATTCGAAGTAACTCTTCTATGGATTTCTCTGTATCTCAACTGATAAAGTTATATTGATTTTTAAAAATGTTGACTCTTAGGAAAATTGTCACACCATTCATCTTTCACAATCTTTATACAAAAAGCAAGTCTGTTGCTTTTAGAGTAAATTTGTTGCCTGAGATCCCCATTGGGATGGTGTGGCAGACAGTTCTGCAGCATTATGATAACTGAACAAATTGTGAAAATATTTAACACTGGATTGTATACTTTGTAATGGTTAAGATGGTAAATTTCATATTAGGTATATTTTTCACAGTATAAAAAGTTAATAATGAAACTTAGTTATTGAAAGTGGAAGGAATCTGTTCAGTGGCAAATAATTTTTTTTATTTAATAAATATACGCCAGGCATGGTGGTGCATTGCTTGTAATCTTAGCGATTTTGGAAGGAAGATTGTAGTTCAGGGCCAAAGCATGAGACCCTATCTGAAAAACAAACTAAAATCAAAAGGACTGTAGAGATGACTCAAGTGGTAATGGACTTACCTAACAAGCACAAGGTCTTGAGTTCAAAACCTTGGTACTGAAAAATTCTTAATAACTATATATATTATATTTTATATATATAATTGAAAAATCTTTGAAAGTACTTGCTAATTGTACGGTGTTCTGAAAATGTCAGACATGCTTATGTAACACGATATGTTTGTGGAGTTAGGACTGAATACTTCCTATTACCTACACACTTGTTCCCCTTCACCTTGCTCTGAATTTTGAAAGCTCACTGAATGGCTGCAGTAACAGCTGTCTCTAACATCGGGCTTCCTGTTTGGGAGCAGTAGGTGCCAGGAGAAAAGCAGGAGTGTGAGATTGGGTATTTTTTTTTCCTCTTCCTTTCCTCCCTTTCCTCTCCTCTCTCCTCCCCTCCTGTCTGCTTTCCTCTGCTCTGGATCATGGCAAGTTGACTGCATCCTCTGGTATAAAGGCCAAAGCTCTTCATGATCAGCCTTCTCTTTTTTTAAGTAAGTTTTTTATTGTGAAAATACTGTACAGAGGGGTTACAGTTACATGAGTAAGGTAGTGAATACATTTCTTATCAAGCATTGTCGCCTCCTCCTTTATTTTATCCCTACCATCCTTTCCTTCCCACCTCCACAACTATACACCCTGCCCCCACCTAAATTGTAAAGTTCGTTTTTCAACATAGTGCCTTGTACATCTCATTGTTGCAATGGGTCCACCTATATCCCTATTTAAACATTTTGTTTTTCCTTTTCCCTCCCCAAATTATACCAACATCAAATACAGTGAAAACGGGGTTATACCATGAGGGAGGGACATACAAAGAAACAAAAAAAAAATTACATGGCACCTTATAAATACGTTAGAAACAATAGCAAGCAAGAAAAAAATCACTTGTGTCCCTATCTTGGTGCTACTTTCTTGAAGATTCTGAAAGTTCTCCTTTCTATTTCCCTTCTGGCCTAGCGTGATAACATTTTCCAGCTGTTGCAGACCCAGAGTGCTTTAGTAATCTTCATTTATTCCTTATGACTTCACCTTCAACAGCTGTCAGTGATTCTTTCATTAAACAATCTTCAGTGTTGACTGGTCAGTGGGCTGCCTAGTTCCTCTAGGAACTCTGGCCAATACAAGATGTGTGTGCGTGCGCACACGCATGTGTGCAATATTGTGCAGTTAATGGTGAACATTTTCGCTTCCTCAACTCTTGTAACCTAAAGCAATTGGAAACACCTAAGTTAAAGTTGGCTTTGTCCCAGAAATGCAGAAATACTCCGAATAGAGAGAACTACATTTCAAGATTTTCTATTCGAGGTTGCTCTTTGGTTTTCTTTCAAGCAATTGTGGTTCATGGTTTAAAAGATGATCATTTCTCCAAATGGGTTCACATTTGCTAAAACAAAACAAAACAAAACAAAAACTTCCCATCATTTAAAAAAATTAGCAGAGTTTTAAAGTATCCACTATCTTTTATTATGAAACCAGAAGGCACCATTTCATCTAGAGGAGCACTGATTGCTTAGAACTACATTCTTTTGAATAAACCTATATTGGTTTAATGAAGTTTTCCTGTGATTAGTATAATTTACTGCAATTGTATTCAAACCCCAAATTATGGGTGTTATACAGAGGAAATACAGCCCTGGTTTAAGGCAATTAGTTTAATCACTTTCCTGATGGGAAATGAAGCAAGGACTCCACCGAGCAGAGCTGCCCACTAGCATTGACGTGGGGAGACTAGTGCTCCTGGCAGGCCTTACTCTCTTATGCCTACTGCCACGCTTTCCTGCCATAGCATATTATAGAACAACACTTCCTCTCATGGTAGTTGGTTGCTGCTAATCAATATCCTCAGAGCTGTATTGTTTAGGCCTTCTTCATCCCTCACCATGCTTGACTCCTCGGGTATGCAATATTCATTGTACAAGGGTGCCTGTGCCATGTTGGGGGGCAAGGGGGGCACTGCGCAGGGTGGCAAGGGAAGGGATTAAGCCCAGCCTAATCACTTACCATAGTTGTTTGGGCTCTTTTGTCCAGAAGAGGAGCTTATCTCTAACTTGCCCAATTGTTTACCATCTCTTTACTGGTCTCTCTTCTTCTGTCTTGCTCTCCTCTTATTCTAAAATACTAGAATCAACTTCTAAATTGTGGCTTTGACCTCATTGCTTCTACTCAACCCATTCAATAGTTTCCCATTCCAGAGAGCAGTGTTTCGTAAACTTCCTTGCTCACAAGAATCACCTGGAGTCAGGTGGGGGTGAGGTGAATCTTATGGAATGCAGGGGCTAATTCAAGTAGGTCTGACATAAGGCCTGAGACTCTGTCCAGCTAGCTGAACACTTGAGCAGCTGAGCTCCTGGATTGTGCTGATGGCTATGCAGATAACAGTGGGAATGTTAAGCCTGTGCTGTCGGATATAGGAGCCACCACCCACCAGCCACATGTAGCTACTGAGCATTGGAGATGGGGTGTGACTGAGGAAATGAACTTTGCATGTTATTTCAGTAGCCACATGTGGCCAACCACTGTGTATTGGACATTATGTTGCAGAAGATCATGTCCAGACTCCTTGTCAGAACTTAAAAGCCCACTGGCCATTCTTTTTTTCTTCTTCTTCTTCTTTTTCTTTTTGATCCAGTCATGGGACCTGAACTCTGGGCCTGGGTGCTGTCCCTCAGCTCTTCAGCTCAAGGCTAGTGCTCTACCACATGAGCCACAGCACCACTTCTGGCTTTTTTCTTTTTGTTTATGTGGTGCTGAGGAGTCGAACCCAGGGCCTCAGGCATGCAAGGCAAGCACTCTACCACTGAGCCACCTTCCCAGCCCTGGCCATTCTTTTCTACTATCTGCTTCTCACTTATTTTATGGTGAAATGCCATGAGGCTTCTTTAATTTTCCAAACAAGCCAACTGGTTGTCATGCTTCTGCTTTGGATGTGCAGTTCCCCGTGCCTGGAATGTTTGAAATTCCTGTCTTCGTGTTTTGTGCCTAGTGATGCCGCACCTTCTTTCCTGGTCCAGGCCCAGCCATCCTCTTCTGTAAATCTGTCCCTGCTAATAGTAAATGTTTAACAGCATTCTCTGGATAATGTGTAGAGGACTTTGTATACCATATTTCACTCCACTGGCCCATTTGTTTGGTCTCTGGAAATGGAATCTGGCTTGAGGGGTCACAAAATTAGAATGGAGAAAATCATAAATTCCAACCTTGTTCTTTTCCCACCACACCTTAGTGTCTCCTGCTTGCTTGGAATTGTGTGACACATAGTACTGATCATCACTGATAGTGATATTATTTCTCTGTAATGTTCTGTCTCTATGGGACCATAAACACTGAGAGGTTGCAGATGAGTTGTGATTTATTTCTGTAGCCCTAGGGTCTGGTAAAACCCAGTGCTGGACACCTGTTGTTGAAGTGTGTGTTTCTTCTGTCCAAACCTTTGTAAAAAAAAATCTTGAATGTGGCAATTGCGTTTTATTTCATGGATGAGCTTATTGCTCAGAATGTCCAT